ACACTTAACATGAACATGACTAAACTTAACAAACTTGACGAGACACAACAAAAAGGTGATAACATGTCAGTGTTCACAACTTGTTTCAGCTGGTAAAAGTGTCAGTTTATTAAAACTGTAGCGGTAGCTGCTCATGGAAGCTGAACATAAATACAAACATGTCATTGAAAAAAACAAACAGACCAGTTGGTTTTTATCTTAATATTTGTGTATCACTGCTGTCACCACACTACAGGTAAACTGGCACACGGAGTCTAGTGTGGTTAGTGTTAATGTCACTACAAATACAGTTTACCACTGCTGTCAACACAGTGTAATTTTGTCAAGGCAAAGTTCAGTTAATATACAAAGTGCAGTAACATAAACCTGCTTTTGCCAGCAAATATAACTTTTTTTTGCATAACTAAACGGAACCAAGCATGGCTTAAATTGCACTCAGTTGACACTCAACCAAAGCAGGGCAACTATTCAAATCCAGCCAGATAAAAGGCAGCATTAAACTTAGCCAAAGAAATGTTAGAGCTAATTGGAAAATCGTACTGATGGTAATGTGAGATGCAGGAAAGTGTTATATGTTACTGATTGAGTGTGCAATGCTTGGGAGTGTGTGAAGTTCACGGGGTATCTGTGATGGGGGTATGCACCAATATATGCATTGCCATGTGTTCATGTGTTTACTGATTCATCTTGGCCTCAAATGAAACTGCAAATGTTCCTAGTGTGTGTGTGTGTTTGTGTGTCTGTGTGCCATACCTGTTCAAAATGCGGAACGTGAGGCTCCCTCCTTTGAAGCTGAAGCTGCTTGTCAATGTTGTCCTTCAGGCACTGACACACGCGGCGCTTCTGGTCTGCTGAATAGGCTTCCAGGCTGAGCAGGCAGTCACACTTCTAGAGACACGGAGAGAGAGAGAGCAGAGAGAGGGGAGAGAGGAGAGAGGAGCAAGAGGGGTGGAGGAAAAGACAGCGGGCAATTAGGCATCTACTGTCGGAGAAGTGAAGAAGTGTCTCCTGAACCACTGGATAGTGAAAGGGTTCAAGCTGGGTAGAGAGAGCAAATTAGAAGATTACAATAGTATGAATATAAGAGAATGAATAAAAAGGCAAACATTTATTTTTTTTCTTGCCTTGGGGGCCCTCTTTAATGAAACTTTAAGACTAAAGCTACTCTTATGTGTGCTTATGAGAGAGCAGCGAGTGTTTTAAGATAGGATAATGACTAACAAAAGAGCTTAATACATCACAAGTACAGTATCAGAAGTGTTTTACTATTGTGTGTTTGTGTGTGTTCAGTAGAATGGAATAAACACAGTATCCACAACTGGCCCTATAAAGCACTCTCCAGCTATTGTCTGCATGTGTCCTCTCAGACCTTTCTTTTTGCACATTCAGTTGTCATCTGAACTTTGTTTTCATGACACCACAGACTGTAAAGTGGCACAGCCCTCCGGGTAGCAAAACGCTAGCATTGGTGAAATTAGATAATGGCCAGTATCCACTTTTGGCAGAATCTGATATGCTGACAAAATGATTACCAATGGCAAGATGCTACTCCCAAAAGAGTACAAATCAATACATCCCTGCTGGGAAATACATGAGAATAAATATTTGACAACCAGTGGTTAAGTTAGAGTTGGCAGTGCTTGGGAAAATAGCTTTTCACTCAAATACTTCTCAGCTGAGTCTCCAGGACATTCAGAATCTGTGTTTGATCAGTGATGTCCAGATTAAATCTCAAATACTTTAATGGCTCTATTTTCTTTTTGGGTCCTTTGATTCCAGCAATGCAGTTTTGATAAAATACAGATCTTATAATAAAAAGAAAATCTTTGATATGGTACATGAAACTCATTTATGTCGATTTCTCCAAATCTTTATTTGGAAACAGATTCCGAGCAGCCCTCTTAAAAGGTTTAAACAGGAGGGTAAAGGGGAGTATAAAAAGATATGAACACATTTGTGCCAGTTAGCATCATTTTAAGTCTGGAGTTGTTTCTGGGGTACAGTGTGAAAAAAAAGTTAAGACTTTAAAATACTCTCCTGTGTAGGATACATATGTTGTCTCTTTCCAGTGACACCAATGTTTACATCTGTTTACATACAACCTTACATACCTTTTACAACCACAACAACACTCATAGCATATTTCTGATATGACCTCCATGGCTATAGACCAAATTAATGGATCATCTAATTGCTTTTTAAATGAAAACACAAAACATATGGTTCTCAAGGTAACATCTACCAGATCCCTATCCTGCCATACAGACTCACAGCTCCTCATCCACCTTTGTTGTTGTAACACTCCGGCATATTCAGTTGAATAATAGTTTCCATTATTCCCTACTTTGCTCATTCAAAACCAACATAAAAGGAACCTATTGTGCTCAAGTACACATTTTTTTATTTCCCCTCTCTCCAATTTGATCATTTCCATCAACCTCAGTTGTTCTGCTCCCGGCAGTTTCAGGAAAAAAAAAAACATTTGTGTCCTGACATTTTTGAGCACGAGTCAGGCTATAAATAGGATTTTTCCATTTTGTGCAAGTCTTCAGAGATTGACTGAAGTCCTCGGGGCTTTTCTTGACGCTCACTGCCCTGGTCAGCGGTGAATCATGATGCTAGTTTATTTGCAGTTTCCTGACTGCATGAGCATTTGCATGACCTGGTGTGCAACTATCTCCTGAACTAGCTGTCTCTTTCAATGTCCCTCAATGTCCCGTTGAAGATGGGGATGTTGCTGTTGTAGGGTCTAATGGCACGACGTGTTTAGTGGTTAAAGCCTTGTCATTGTTAGTGATGCTGATGCAGGTTAAAAAGGCATTCAAAGCTGGCGTTAATGGTAGCAATGTCAAGACTCTTTTGCCTTGATGTAGTATAAAATGTACTGCATACAAGGCACAGTTGTGTGTTAATAGAAAGTGTTGCATTTTAAGGAGAAGGGGAGCAGAATATTTTGTCACAAACTAAAAAAACAAAACAAAAAAGGAACAGAGACAACATAACAATAGAAAAACATTACGTACAGTAAGACACAGAAAAATAAAGATAGAAAGTGGAGGAAAAAATGAGACATAAACAAGATAGAAAAGCAGGTTAGATAGCAAAAGCATTTATGAAATTGAGCCTGACTGTTTCCAATTGCACCACGAGATGATGAAACAGGGGCTTTTTCAGAGCGGACAGAAATCAATGTTGATGTTCTTTGATATCCATCATTTGGACTGAATCTGAGTCTATAAGGGTGCAACAGAGGCCATAATACTTGAAACGGATGCACACACACGCACACGCCGACTTCAATGTAAACAACTAGCTCCCAGGGAAAACCTTTATAATGTTGCTGTCAGTGAAAGTCTCATAATACTATTTAAGGTTATTTTTAAGTTTTCACATAAAGCATTACACAATATTCAAAAGGTCAGGAGACGTCAGCAAAAACTCTTTACTCAGTGGGTAAAGTGGCAATGCACGGTGATTGAGCTGGGAATAATCCTCTGTCATTTGCTTGCTGAAAAGTTCACTCTTTGAGGATTTATGAGGATTATTACTTGACATCTAAGGCTGTGATCACAGAAGGTGGGGGGCTTTATGTATGCCGATATTGGTCGCTCCACCACTTTGTTCCAAATTGAAATATTTCAACAAATATTCAATGGATTGCCATAACATTTTGTAGACATTCATGTTACCCAGAGGATGAATCCTGATGAATCTAATGATCCTCTGACTTTTCCTCTAGCAACACCTGCAGGTCAAAGTTTTCAATTACCCAGTGAAATATCTCAACATCGACTGGATTGAAAAATGACCTTAATGGTTCCTAATGAGACTATGGCAACATTGCCTGTTTAAGTGTGTTAGCTTTGTCACTGTGAGCATGTTAGCATGCTAATATTAACATTTAGCGCAAAGCACTACTCAATGTGCAGCCTCACAGAGCCCCCAGTGTGGCTGTAGATACTTACACCTAAAGCTAAAACTATTTAAATCCTTTGTTTTTATTTATATAAGCAAGAAAAATTGAGGAAAACGTTGTAGCTGTTTGTGTCTAGCTTGTTTCTCCAACAGAGAGTGTAAATCGATAGCATGTCCAAGCTTGGAGTGTGAAGAATAAAATTAAAGGAGTTCTTCTTTACTTAGCTAATGGCATTAACTTGCTGACTAATTGACATCATTTGATTTCATGGTTGCCTAGAGACAGCAAAGCGATACTTCTTATGCACGTACCAAATTAAGATGGAACAGTGTGTAGTCTGAATTTCTCCAAAATGACACATGGTCACACCCCAAGCCAACTGACCTTCAGTTATGGGATGCTAATGACACCTGGTAATGCCAAAAGTGCAATACACATGCCACCCATCACCTCCCAACAGACACAAACATTTGCCAATTTTGAATTTCCACATAATGGAATGATCACTCATGTCTGAAAGAGGTTTGTCTGTCTTCCATGTCCTTCAAGCCTTAGTTAATAATTTGGGAAGACTAATACTGTAAAAAATAATGCAAAGGCTTTTCAGTGAACATTGCCTCATACGGCCAGGTTTTTCCAGGCAACTCCCCACTGTCCCACATTAGAGAAAACACATCTGCGATGGAGCATTTCAGAGTCCCAGAGGCATGCATGCACCTTCATCCACAGACACACTCACCCAGCTTTAAAATCTGTACACAGTACCAGTTTAAACTCTCACTGTACTGTCTTACTGTAGCGACATATTTACAACACATCATGATCAAATAGCAACCAGCTGGGACTCTCTGCTCTGTGAGTCATAACGTGGCACAGGTCTCAGAGCTGCATGAGGGCTTACATCCTAATCTGTCAAACAGAGGAAGAGTGTATGTTTACACAGTCTTGGTGTGCAAATATGAGGCAGTGCAAACTATACTGTAAACCACTAACTGACATTATGCACATTTTGTCTTGGAAAAAAGAGGGGGAAATAACAGATGTTGACAGATGTAAAATAAAATAGAATTCAGTATAAATGAGTAATGTATCATACACAGTAGTGCATCATATCTTTAAAATGAACTATGCTCTGCTTGGGGACAACTAATGATGATTTATTTTAGCTTTTGTTTACCATTATTACAGTTTTTGTCCTATGCTGATTAACTGTGCTTTATTGCATCTATCTGGGATAGTTTTCCTGACAGTGACTTGCACATCATTGCATTACATCAGTTAAAATAATCAGTCATGCCAGCAAATGAGTAAACTGTTGACAGCTGATCACAGACCACATGTTTTAGGCAGGAATTGTCTGGAGCCAGCTGGAGCTTTCTATAATGTTGGCACTGCAATCTATTTCACATAACAGCCGTCTCTTAGTTTGAAACAGATTTAAGTGCTTCTTCACTTTTGTGATGCATGCACGATGTTTGTTTCCCTTTTAGGGTTAAAAGAAAAATACCAGTAACTTTAAAATCACAATTCAACTGAATAAAATAACGTTATATTCATGTTGGGTCCAAATCATCTTCAACATTTGGACTGTTATGGGTTTTAAGAGAGTTTACTGGAATCTCCCTGACTCTGTGAAAGCAGGTCTTTGGGGATTTTAATGTTAAGGTCATGTTGCTCCTTGGCATTAAACAGTATCCGGTCAGTGACCAAGGCTGCAGCCCTAGTAATAATATGTTACCCTTTTCCAAGACAAATTGTAATTTTTCAATTTCAGTAACAAAGTCAGGTCAATGAAGCTCTTATTATTTAAATTATAGAGTGACTTTTCATAAAAGGATTGCCCAAAGATAGCTAAAATAGCTGCTGGTTCCCTTACACCAGCTCTTACTTTAGTTCACCCCTGTTTAGAAATCCAAGCATCCAAGAGATAAACATGAGAGCTAATGAAACAAAATTCAATGAATGGCCACTG